CCCCCCTTTCCCCCCAACCCCGGGGTGCGGGCTCTCTTCAAAAAACACTTGTTCAAGGTGGGTCGGGAGAAGGAAGCCCGCCGTGGCCGGAGCGGCGGCCGGGAATTAACTTTATCCCAGCGAAGGCCGCCTGGGAAAACGGCGGTTTTCCCCAGGTAAATCGGCGTTGGCTGGGCGAGGTTCGTGCCCGCTTTCAACACTTTAAGTTGAGGCTGTGCAGAACTGGAGCAGTCCTGTGAAAAGCAGAGCAAATAAATTCTCGGGAAGAGCCACTTCCCTTTAAAATTGCATTTCAAGCGAAGGATTATTTCATTGTGTCCTCTATGCCAGCTGGCTGCATGCCTTTGTAAATTTAACACTCTCTACCATATTTGCTGAAGAGTGATCGGTGGTGTCAAGCGTATTTACTCAACGGCTTGAATTGAACAGCCCGCATGTATACAATAAGTGAATTGCACCGGAGACCATGTTTCAAAAAGGGAAAATCCAGAACCTTCAAGAGTTACATGCATCTTCTAAGAAAAAGTAGGTAAAATAGAACGCGCTTCCAGTGGGAACAGGAAGAAACACTTCCAAAGCCCAAGTTTCTGTGGGACTATTGAGAGTGAGGTGTTACGCAGTGAGCTGTGCTAGCACCTTGCAGTCGAGCCCGAGAGCAGTACAGCTACAAGAGTGGAGGAGCAGGGCAGCACTCAGTTATGACTCGAAATCGTGCTTCAGATCCCTGCTTTTTTCCTGGCTCCCTGGAGGCATTAAGCTGCACTCGTTCTTTTCCTGGAGTACCTTTTCTCCCTTGCATGCCAGCTCAGCTGCACTAGCAGGTGCATTAAGGGGGGAGAGAGCCAAGAGTCCACCCACTCCCTTTCTGCCAGCCGGAGGGGGATGTAGCGGGTCACATCTGGTGTGATGGTAGCATGCATAAGGGATTTCGGGGGTCTGATGCCCTCTTACTTACCTGCGTGTGTGCATGAGTAACTTTATTCACGTGAGGATTCCAATAAAATGAATGAGATTATTCTTGCGAGTAAATTCCCTCATTTTGTTGTAAACTTGGTTTCTGAGTGAGGTACACAACCCAATGATCTTTTGGGCAATAGGAGTTTATGCATCATATTGCCCAGCATGTAACTTTGAAATAGGTGATAGGTATGTTGATTCTGTTTTGCCACAGAAATGTCTTCTAATTCTGCCCTAATTCTTCCTGTGGTAAGGTTTAGAGATCGTAGCATATGTTTACTTATATTTTTTCACTAGAAGTAAACAACACTGCATCCTTTTCAGGCTTGTTGTCTGCATATTCTTAAATTAACTGAATTTTCTGGGGTTTTTATGATGTTTTCATTTTATTAGAATGGAGATGTTCATTTTTAAAATAAAGTTCATAGTCTTTCATTAGTCTTGCAGTGATGTGGCCTGATCTGGACCCAATTTTTTAGTCATTATAGGACTTTGTCACTGAGAAATATGAGTCGTTTGTGTTATTTCTCCTGAAATAATTGTGACTGTATAATGGTACTGCTTGTTTTGGGTGGCAGTGTTTGTAGAAACAGGTGAAGAAGTTGAACTATATAGGGTACGCATCTTCTTATATGGGAATTGTGACAATGCTAGTAAGTGCCTCCTAACAGTGTCTCTGTATCAGAATAAATGCGTATGTAAGTATGGAGTTGTTTTGATTTATTTTTCCATGTGATATATATATAATGCTTGTTTGTAGACAAGCTTTAAAGCATCCAAAGAAACAGGTTTATTCTAATTTCACCATGCTAATGTTGATACCACCAAGGGAAAAAACTAAATTTTGTACCAAAATAACAAGAAAAAGGTAAAAAACCTAAATATTTTATGGTATCCAAATGTGAAAATTTAAAGTAAGTTTGCAAATCTACCCACTACTAGGGTGTTTGTAAACATATGAACTATTAGGGCACATATGAAAATGAACATCACAGTAAATCTTAAATATAGGCACACTTAGGAGAATATTGGGTTAACCACGTAAGAGATGGAAAAATTCTGGTACAGGCTCCTGTGGATTCTCATTTATTTCAGTTTTTCTACTTCTAGTGCTTGTATGCATTTGCTGGACTACTTTGATGTATTTGGTTACACTTCTTGACCTCATTCTCATGATCTTTATAAAACTGTGTATGTTTACCTACACTGAACAATATTTTGTGGTGTTGTCTGGGGGAGGCGAGCAGCATCCCTCTACTCTCCTGCCCCCATTTTTTGCTATGAACGGAGTGTGGAAGCTGTGTCTCTAAACACGGTGCTCTGGGAATCCGTTACTCGCATCCTTGCGGGGCTTAGTCTGTAGTTTTATGGCTCTCCGTCCTGCCTGTGTTTCACCAGGCAGATACACCCTTGGAGAATAAATTCAATAAGTATTACATAATTTTTCCACAAGGGGACCATTTTGTTCCTGGTTGTCTTTTCCCAGTCTTCTGAGGTTAGTGTCTAATTTGGAAGCTGTTATGTAAACCAAGCACCTAATGCACATCAAACCCAGCACAAGACCTCTGTTTATCTCTTCGCAGCTGTGATTACTGTGTCTCTAAACTTGGACAAAAAAATTCTGTGTAATTGCATGACTCACAAAAGTGAATTTATTGTCAGTATTTCGGTTAGAGTTTATTGAAGTCCTGCGTGCTTTCTGTGAGATACCGAATGCCTCCGGCCGTCCCTCCTCACGTGTGGAAGAACGAGCCCATGGGAGAACATTGCTGGTCCAGGCTGGTGGCCTCGCAGCTGCTGGATGAGAGCAGCATGAAGCCAGCGGGAGATGGGAGCGACTGCACGTGGTTCTGCTGCTGTCATACATGTTTCACTCCTTTCATAGCAGCGTTGTTGGGGACGTGCCTTTGGGTGACTTTTATGTGTTACGGCCTTCCGCTACTAGTGGATGTGGCTGGTTTTTCAGGTGGTTAATTACTCAGTGTCCTTCTACATGTCAGGAGTTTCTTTAACGCTCAGAGAGCTTGTTGGTCCAGCCCCGTAGCATCTCCCTCCCTCCCTGTCTTTGGGTACGCAGGGAAACTCGCGCTCTCATGGAAATCTTGGTTTTGTTATGATATCAGCTAGGGCATCTGTAGTCCCCAATCAAGAAAAACCCC